ATCAACCCTGCTGATACCCTGATCTCAGATTTCCAGCCTCCAGAACTCTGACGGAATAGATTTCTACTGTTTACGCCGCCCAGTGCGATACTTGTTACAGCGGCCCCAGCTGACCAGTATACACTGTAAGCACACATGTAGCTTACTCAGCTGTGTAGTCACATCCTCTTCTGAGTTGGCTCAGCCCCACTGCCTCCTGGGGCCCATCCACTGCAACCCCAAAGGGTTCTGATGGACGCCAACCTCTGCTCAACACAAATCCTCCGAAAGCGAGCCAGGGCTGACCTTAGGGTGATGCCCAAGAAGAAGCTAGCTAGCCAGGGAGGTGGTGAGCCACATCAGGGCTTTTCAGTCTAGGAGGGAGGGCTGGATGAACAGGGAATGCACAGGGGCTGAGGCAGAACAAGAAGAATCAAAGGGACAGGTCTGCTCCCCATCGCTGCTATTATCAGAATAGCTCTTATTTATGTTTTGTATCTTGGACTCCTGCACCAGAGTTTATTAGGAGGAACGGTTCAGCTAAAAACAAATTTTAAAACCACTGAACACGAATGATCTTTAAGGCCTTTTCGCTTCCAAGAGAGTCTACCATTGTTCCTCACATACACATACACAAAAAGAGAGACAAATTGACATAGGAAGCAGGCCTGCTGAACAACCCTGCCCTTCCTTTAGCCTCCTTTTTTTTTTTTAATGTTTATTTATGTTTGAGAGAGAGAGAGAAAGAGAGCAGGGTTGGGGGGGAAGCAGAGAGAGAGAGAGAGGGGGACAGAGGATCTGAAGCAGGCTCTTTGCTGACAGCAGGGAGCCCAATGCGGAGCTCGAACTCACAAACTGTGAGATCATTACCTGAGCTGAAGTCAGACCCTTAACCTACTGAGCCACCCAGCACCCCCCATTTGGCCTCCTTCTGAGAGAAAGGCATTTGTTTCATATGTAATACCTGTTGATATAATCTCTGAAGGGATAGACTGTATCCTTAAATTTAATTATAAATGTACCTAGCAAGATAATGAAATATTAAGTTCACTGGGAACCTGCCACTCTAACCTGCTTCCCTGTTGTCAAATGGCTGAATCTCAAAGGACTCTGGTGCTCAAAGAACCCATTTTCCTTTTGTGGGGTCCAAAATAAACCACCTGTGTTCCAGGTGGGTTCATATTCATGTCCAACATAAAGGGGTCTTTTAGCAGACAAAGGTAAGAGGTATAAAATGCAAACTAGTTGAAGACAATCATTGCCAATAACACTTCACCTTCAACTCACTTGTTCCAAAGAATACTGCTCTAAAAAAATGATCTTTCACAAAATAGTCCACTGAAATAATTAACATCTGAACGGGAAGGGAAAAATTTTTTCCCATATTGATGTATTCTGTTGCTAGGAGATGGGTTTAGAACAGAATTCCTAAATTAAACTTTCTTGCAGACTGACTTTTATTGAACCTGGTTTTCTGAGGGAACACACTGCATTTACCATGAGCGTCAGTGTGCAAAACCTGTCATTTCTGAAGCTAGAAGATAATTAACCAGGTCAGCAAGTATATAATCCAGGCATCTTACCATCATATTAAAATACGAGTATGTTTATGAGAGGCAGCTGTGCTGTGGGGGAAAAGTGCTATATTAGGAGGGGAAAAAAAAAATCTAGGATTTGTCATTTACTAGCTATGCAACCTTAGAAGATTGCTTAACATCTCTTAGCCTTGATTTTTCTCATCTGTAAATGGGGACAATATTTTTTCATAAGTTTGTTATGAAGAGTTATTAGATATTGTATGTAAAATGCCCTTTAAAATATATAATGCTATATGGATATAAAAATTATACAGTTTTATAATAATTATATGTTATTGTAGAATAAGAAGCATGTCCCCTACATTTAAATATTCTTTAAGAAATCTGCTGAAATGTATCATGGAATAATATGATTAAGAAGCAGTGGGTGGCTGTTGCACCTGGGTGGCTCAGCCATCTGAGCGTCTGACTTCGGCTCAGGTCATGGTCTTGCAGTTTGTGAGTTCAATCCCCACATTGGGCTCTCTGCTGTCAGGGCAGAGCCCACTTCAGATCCTATGTTCCCCTCCCTCTGCCCCTACCCCACGTTCACTCTTTCAAAAATAAATAAACATTAAAAAAAAAAAAAAGTAGTGGATGGCTTACACCACACACAAAGATAAATTTACAATGGATTAAGGACCTAAATGTGAGGCCTAAAACTATAAAATCCTAGCAGAAAACACAGGCAGTAATTTCTCTGACATGGACATAGCAACTTCTTACTAATGTCTCCTGAGGCAAGGGAACAAAAGCAAAAATAAACTATTGGGACTACATCTAGATAAAAAGCTTCTGCACAGGGGCACCTGGGTGGCTCAGTTGGTTGGGCGACTGACTTCAGCTCAGGTCATGATCTCACAGTTCATGAGTTCCAGCCCCACGTCGGGCTCTGTGCTGACAGCTCAGAACCTGGAACCTACTTCGTATTCTGTGTCTCCCCCTCTCTCTACCTCTCCCCTGCTCACACTCTGTGTCTCTCTGCCTCTCAATAATAATAAATGTTAAAAAAAAAATTAAAAAGCTTCTGCACAGCAAAGGAAATGATCAACAAAACAAAAAGACAATCTACTGAATGAGAGAAGACATTTGCAAGTGATATATCTGATAAAGGGTTAGTATCCAAAATATGTAAAGAACTTATAAACTCAGCATCCAAAAAACAAATAATCCAATTAAAAAATAAGGCAGAAGACATGAACAGACATTTCTCCAAAGAAGATATCCAGATGGCCAACAGACATGCAAAGATGCATCACTCACCATCAGGGAAATGCAAATCAAAAAATTGCAGGGAGATATCACTTCACACCTGTCAGAATGGCTAAAATCAACAACTCAAGAAACAACAGGTGTTGGCGAGGATGTAGAGAAAGGGGAGTTCTCTTGTTCTGTTGGTGGAAATGCAAACTGATACAGCTACTCTGGAAAACAGTATGGAGTTTCCTCAAAAAGTTAAAAATGGAACTACCCTACCCTAGTAATCACACTACTGAGTATTTATCCCAAAGAATACAAAAACACTCATTCAAAGAGATACATGCATTATATGTTTATAGTAGCATTATTTACAGTAGCCAAATTATAGAAGCAACCCACGAGTCCATCGACTGGTGAACGGATAAAGAAGAGGTGGTATATACACACAATGGAGTATTGTTCAGTTGTAAAAAGAACAAAATCTTGTCATTTGCAAGATGGATCTAGAGAGTATAATGCCAAGTGAAATAAGCCAGTCAGAGAAAAACAAATACCATATGGTTTCAGTCATATGTGATGTTTAAGAAACGAGTAGTGGAAAAAGAGAGACAGAGAGACAAATCAAGAAACAGACTCTTAAGTACAGAGAACAGACTGATGGTTCCCAGAGGGGAGGTGGGTAGGGAATGGGTGAAATAGGTGAACGGGGTTAAGAGTACACTTGTCATGGGGCGCCTGGGTGGTGCAGTCGGTTAAGCGTCCGACTTCAGCCAGGTCACGATCTCGCAGTCCTTGAGTTCGAGCCCCGTGTCAGGCTCTGGGCTGATGGCTCGGAGCCTGGAGCCTGTTTCCGATTCTGTGTCTCCCTCTCTCTCTGCCCCTCCCCCGTTCATGCTCTGTCTCTCTCTGTCCCAAAAATAAATAAAAATGTTAAGAGTACACTTGTCATAATGAGCACTGAGTAATGTGTAGAATTGTTGAATCACAATATTGTACACCTGTAACTAATATTTAGCACTGTTAAATCAGTACATCTGAAACTAATATTTAACTATCCTGGAATTCAAAAAAAATTAATAATTAAAAAAAGAAGTTGTAGAACTGTTTCTGAGTCTGCTTTCCCTGATGGGCTGTTGCATGCACACAGGGCAGGGGCCAGCAAGGACCATGCCAAGCAGTGCTGGTCCACAGTAGACATCAGAAATCAGCTCATAGGGGCGCCTGGGTGGCGCAGTCGGTTAAGCGTCCGACTTCAGCCAGGTCACGATCTCGCGGTCCGTGAGTTCGAGCCCCGCGTCAGGCTCTGGGCTGATGGCTCAGAGCCTGGAGCCTGTTTCCGATTCTGTGTCTCCCTCTCTCTCTGCCCCTCCCCCGTTCATGCTCTGTCTCTCTCTGTCCCAAAAATAAATAAAACGTTGAAAAAAAACAATTAAAAAAAAAAAGAAATCAGCTCATGGATGGGGAGCCTGGGTGGCTCAGTTGGTTGGGTGTCTGACTTCAGTTCAGGTCATGATCTCCCCATTCCTGAGTTCGAGCCCCGTGTTCAGCTCTGTGCTGACAGCTCAGAGCCTGGAGCCTGTTCAGATTCTGTGTCTCCTTCTCTGTCTCTGCCCCCCACCCCCCCCGGCCCCCTGCTCATGCTGTCTCTCTCTCAAAAATAAATAAATTAAAAAAAAACAAAAAAACAAAAAAACAAGGCTCATGGAGGGAAAGAAGAGGAGGGAGGCAAAGAGGGAGGGAGGCAAAGAGGAAGGGAGGGAGGATTTTCTCATTACTAAAGCCAATTCCAAAAGAATTCCAAAGATGTCCAGAGTAATGACAGCATCTCTGGAATTAATATAGTTTCCCTAGGGTCGAAAGTACCTTTATAATGATAAACTAACCTGAAAATTCCCAAATATATAAAAGTGTTTTAATTAACAATGATTGCTATAAATCTAAACCGTCTGCAGTGTTACAGGGCTTACTACCTATTAGCAGATATGCCTTTGCGGCAACATGAAAATAATCCACCCAAGAATTTCTTTCCCTCTGGATACTGGTTACCCACAAATCAGGGCTCCGTGTGCGCCATGGTTCTCTGGAACCCTAAATAGAGCAGTACTATTTATTGACATGGGCAAAATGAGGGGGCGGGTAATACCTTAAAAAACCCCAATCTTCATGCTTCCTTTCCTTACAAGGCTTCTTCCACGCATTTCCTAAGGCGGTAAGGCAGAGCGCTGAAGCAGAGACTGGACTTACCGTGACCCTCTCACATGTTTGTGTATGAAGTCGGCATGGAAACGTGGGACCAGAGGATCCTTCTCCCCATGCACGATTAAGGTGGGGCACTGAACCAGGGGCAGCAAGTGCCGACAGATATTCCCTGAAAGACAAATAGCAAGGATAATCTGCTTCAACGGGACCATCCCAGGAGGTGAGTCAGAAAAGCAGAGAACTGAGACAAATCATGCTTCTCTCCGGACCTCAGTGTCCCTGTCTGTAGAAGAGGTGGTTTGCCTTAGATGGGGTCTGAGGTGGGGGCCCTGGATGGCCCAGTCACTTAAGCCTCAGATTTCAGCTCAGGTCATGATTTCACTGTTCGTGGGTTTGAGCCCCACATCGGGCTCTGTGCTGAGAGCTCAGAGCCTGGAGCCTGCTTTGGTTTCTGTGTCTCCCTCTCCTGCTCCCACTCTGTTTCTCTCTCTCAAAAAAAAAAAATAAACATTAAAAAAAAAAAAAAAAGATGGGGTCTGAGGTGTCTTCCTGTTTCTCTATTTTTTTCCCCTCTGCTTTGGAAGCTCTATTAGTAAACAAGAAGTTCACTTGATTTATAGTCATAATTCATGTAAAATAGGAAAAATAAACAAAAAACCCCACAATTCTTTATATTATATAGAGCAGTCTCCAATTTGCAAAGTGATGGTAGATGCTTGGCATGTGAAAGCTTTTCCCTTGAAATAATGTCTTAAATGGTTCTTGGGCTTCCAGCTAGCCCTTAAAGCTTACATACCTTACTGTGAGGTTAAAATTTACACATGGCAAACCAGCTTCTCTTCATCCCTCCTGCTTCCATGACATTCCTGACTGACATGCTTCGGAGATTATGAGGTCCTCACCCCCATTTGTAACAACATTTCTAAGGTGAATGTGGAACAACCTGGTTCTGGTCCTGTCCTGCTGTTTCCTGCCTGTGAAATCTTGGTAGTTCCTTAGTTATGAGTTTTAGCCTCCTCCTTGGTCAAACAGGGATAGTTACAGTTCTCTGGGGTTAACCATGAGGCTAAAAAGAGATGTCATATTGAAGGTTCTAGGCACCCAGCAGGTACTCCATAAAGCGAGCTCCTTCCTCTCCTTCCTCCTCCCTGCCTCTGCCTGCGTTGAGAAGAAAGTGCTGGGGCTCTGAGAAAGCTGTCCAGGCACCTGGCCTGTCCCTCCCCCTCACTTGGGGGTCACTGCCTGCTAAATGAGAAGGTGGTGGGTTGGCCAGGGAAGTATTTCCCTAGGTCCCAGAAGCTTCCCTCTCCTACCCCTGAAATGACACACACCCACCAATAGTATAATCACTTATTACTGAGCACTATGTGTCAGAAACTGTTCAAGTGGTTTGATGCCCATGAAACACTTCGTCACGTGTTTTAACTCATTTAGTATGTACAATTATTTGTAAACCAAGCACTTTTCTAACGACAGTAATAATAACCTTTTATTAAGCACTTACTCTGTATTTGGTACCGCACCAAAGCTGAACGTACAGAACCTGGTTGGATCCTCACAACAACCTTATGAGGTAGTTGTTAGTATCTCCAGTTCCCAGATAGGAAACTGCAGCTTTGAGAGAAGCTCAAATGAATGAATCTGCCCAATTCATTCTAACAGCAAGCCAAGTGGCAAGGCCACCGTCTGACTCCAAATCTGTGCAGTTAACTCCTCTGCTAAACTGAGCATCCATAAACATGAGGATACAAGTAGGAAGAAAAGGGCTCCTGTCAAATTAGTGAGTGTGGAAGGGAGATACATGGTTTGTTAACAGTCTTGCTATAAGATCATTTACATACTGCTAGCTCCTCTATATTTTGGCATTTCCCCTCCCTTCTCTTTCATTTTTTTAAAAACTATATTTAATTTTTTTTAATTTTAGGTTTACAGCGAAATTGAGTGGAAGGTACAGGGATTTCCCTTGTCCCCCTGCCCCCCCCCCCATGCACAGCTTCCCCTACTATCAACATCCCCCACCATAGAGTCCAGAGTTTACATTAGGGGCCACTCCTGTTGTTGTACATTCTGTGGGTCTGAACAAATGTATAACGACATGCATCCATCGTTATGGTGTCACAGAGTATTTTCACTGCCCTCAACATCCTGTTCTGGCCATTCTAATAGGTGAGCAGTGGGATCCTGTTATTTGGCTCATCTTTTTAATCAGGTTGTTTGTTTTCTTATTGTTCAGTTGTAAGAGTTCTTGGCACATTTGGATAACAGTGCTTGATCACATGTGTCTTTTGCAAATGTTTTCTCCAGGTCTGTGGCTTGTCTTTTCATTCTCTTGATGGTGTTTTTCGCAGAGTGGAAGGTTTAAATTTTAACAAACACAGGGCATAGTTTTGAACTGCTGATTTAATTCTGCTTCTACCTTCGAATCTTCCTACCACTTCAGCTCTCTTGTCAGGAAAGCAAAAAAGTTTACATTTCAAAAGTTTGCCTTCTTTAATGGAGAACTGTCTTAGACATCTTTTACGGCATTTTTAAGAGCTGAGGGAAACACATTTCCAAGACCTATTTCTATGGGTGGGTACTTCATTTGAACAGGATATATTTACTGTTTTGAACTTAAACCAAAAAAAGTAACATTTTCAAATGCCCTTTTCATTGTGAAAGTTTTGATAGGTGACTCACTCTGGAAATGATTACCTAATAGATCAAACTGGCCCTTCAACTGCAGCCATTCTGTAACTGAATTGTGCTCCCAGATTAGATCTTAGCTACCCTCTATTCTTTTACAGTTAAAATAGAAGAGTGAGAGAGTATAAATGTAAATAGCTGCTTAAAAACAGACTTTAACTCAGAATTTTCTTAAAGAGATCAATTCTTACTGTTATTGGAAATCGTGTTAAATTTTCAGATAAAGACAGGGAGCTATAGTCATTTAACTAAGTTCTGAAGGTGGGAAGTGAACTGAACACTCTTCCTCATGCTTGCTGGGGCTGAAGGTCATGACAAAAAGGTCCTTCTTTCTTTTTTGTCTTAGTAACAGAGTATGTAGCGGGTAACACGTGAAAAAGAAAAAAATATGCTCTGTGTGGTGGCTTGTTTTCTGATTATCCATTCCAGAATTAGAACATATACACTATCTGAGGCTTCTAGAGAATTATTTTGTCATCATACACACAAGGATTAGAAGGAGAAAGGAACAGTCTTCTATTAAAGACTTAACTATGTGAACCTTGATACAACTATATATTTAGTACAGTTTAAGGCAGATGTATTATACAAGGGCCTGTACTGTGTACAGTCACTAGCATCCTCTATTCACACATCAGCATGAAAACAGTGGGTGAATGTGCTAATCACCAGGGAATTCTGGAACACCAGGGGAGGAACTCAAGCAGCCTCTCTGATTAGCAAAGGAACAGCTAAAACAGTTCACACAACCTACCATCTGAAAGATGTTTAAATTGTTTTATGCCATCCACCCACTTCTCACAGGTTTTGCTAAAGTAGTCATACCCATATAAGGTTTCTAGAGGTTTTCTTGTTCTCTCACTCCATTTAGAAACATCTCTGATACCTGAAAAACAGAAGTAGTGACAAGAATAAATCTAGTCTAATGTTAAGGCTTATCTTTAAATATTGCAAACATAGTCCACCCCAGAGTCATCCTGCTTGCTCTTCTGTCTGCCTGAAATGTTTCTCCAGCTTTCCACCTGGCTTACTCCTCACTTTGTCCAGGGCAGTGAGGCCTTCCCCGACCATCCTCTTAGAGCACCCTCCCCTCCATCTACTCTGTTTTGCATCTTTCAGTGCTTTGTAGCATTTTCTGTGTCCATGGCTGAGTGCCTGTCTCCCCAGGAAGATGAAAGCTCCAGGATAAGGGACTTGGCTTTGTTTTGCCTCCCACTTATGCCCAGAGCCTCGGCCAGAGCCTGGCACAAAAGAGGCACAACATAAATTTTTACTAAGTGAAATTAGATCTGCATTTAATGCTTTCTGTTAAAAGTATAAGATATAAGAAGATATTCCTGCAATTAGGGTTATCTGAGTAAAACTGACATGATTTATTAAAGAGAAGGTATCTTCTACGGGCGCCTGGGTGGCTCAGTCGGTTAAGCGTCTGACTTCGGCTCAGGTCATGATCTCACAGTTTGTGAGTTTGAGCCCTGTGTCAGGCTCTGGGCTGACAGCTCAGAGCCTGGAGCCCGCTTCAGATTCTGTGCCTCCCTCTGTCGGCCCCTCCACTGCTTGCACTCTGTCTCTCGCATTGTCTCAAAAATAAACAAACATTTTAAAAAAAAATTTTTAAAAGAGAGAAGATATTTTCTGAATTGCATTCAGGTACACTGAAAAACATACAAATTATTCATTCTAGTTTCTGTTACTGAAGAAATATGACTGTAAAAGGCTAACTATGAACTTGAAACAAGTACAGATGATTCACTCTTAGGAAATAATAGCTAAAAACCACTTATAAAATGCATGAACAAATTCAATTACTTAGCCCAGTTGTGTCCATATTTCTTTAAACACACTGGTAATTCTCATTTTTCTGAGCATATTACATATGGCTTATGGACAGCTTTTAACACAGTGCTTCTGGTACACAATATACCTCAAAGACAACACATTACTAATGATATGAACTCATATTGCACAATAACCCCTCCACAGTGCTCTGGACAGTGCCAGACCCCTGGCAGGCACCCAGTGTGTACTCAGGGAACAGAAATAACAGAGTGAAGGAAAAATTGCTATTTACAACTACAACTGCCTTCTAAGGATGGCAGACTGCCGGATTGGTTCAAATCTGCATAGGTAAGCCCAGAGGTGCATATGGAAGCTGAGGAGAGCTGACCTGCTCTGCACAGGAGTGAAAAGACTTCACAGAGGGGTGCAGAGAAGTCTGGAAATTAAGGGGGTGGGGAGATCTGGGAAGAAGAAAAAGAGTTGGAAGAGAGGAAAGGAGAGAGGAGCCAGTAAGATGTCATGAAGATGGTCAGTAAAAAAATCCCCTGTAGATATCTCTACTTTGGGCACTATTGTAGACAGCACCCTCTGCGAGGTGCCCTTGCAGTGGAAGGACTAGACCTTTCATAAAACATATGATTTGTTGCATTGCTGGAGTTGCAGCGATTAATGCAAACTAGGGTGTGTGTGTGTAAGATGGAAGAGAACCAGAAAACAGGGCAAAGGGTGGTAAGACTACTCAAAGGCAGGGTTGCTTTTGGGGGAAATGTAACTACTAGCTGGAAGCAGTGGGTAGAGCTGAACCTGAGATTCCTAGATTAAACTGAGATTAAAATGGCCCCAGGCTGTGATTATCCCATGGCTCCCAGGCTCCCAAGAATAGCAAATGTAAATCCTCTCTGAAGGAAAACAGTATCAATTTGTGTTCACGGTCTTTTTTGTGGGTTTTCAGATTGAGAGTAAGCAAATTTCACTCCTAATCAAAGATCACAAAACGACCAGAATCTTTATAAAACTAATGAAAAAGTTAGAACACTGGAAGAGAAAGCTTAACATATGATGCAGACCACCACACAGAGAGACAAGAAGATGAACAAGAGACAGAGCAGAATGAAAGCAAGGCCCACAAAGTCCAATCAGTCCCCGAAGGAGAGGAGGAGGAGGAGAATGGAGAAGAAATATGGGAAGAAGGAAACCGCTGAGAAAGGTTTTCAGAACTGATCAGAGAAAAGTCCACAGACAAAACTCAAGTGTAACCCAAACTGGATAAATAAAAAGGAATTTGCATCTAGACAGAGAAGAGCAAAATAGCAGTAAATCAAAGAGAAAGCAAAAACCTGAAAAGCAGCCAGAGGTAAGACACATCTCTCCAAAGGGAGGAAAGCTCGCTGGCAAAAGTTCACAGCAGTGGTTAAGGAATGCAGACAGTGTGCAGTGGAGAAAAGAATTTCCCATTTATATTTCTGTACTTAGCCAAACAATCTTTCAAGAATGAGAGTGAAATAAAAACTGAGTTGACTCTTAACAGATCTCCCCTTAAAGAACTTCCAGGAGCATCTGGGCGGTTCAGTCAGTCAAGAGTCTGACTCTTGATTTCAGCTCAGGTCATGATCTCATGGTTGGTGAGATTCCAGCCCTGCATCCGGCTCTGTGCTCACTGCATGGAGCCTGATTGGGATTCTCTCTCTCCCTATCTCTCTCTCTGCCCCTCCTGCTCACACTTTCTCTCTCAAAATAAATAAATAAACTTAAAAAAAAAAAAAAAAAGAACTCGTAAAAAATAACTTGAGGAGAAAGAGAAGTGATCCTAGAGGGAATATCTGAGACGAAAGAAGGAAAGGTGAGTAAAGAAACTGAAGAATGTGTTTGTAAATGTAAAAACCAACAAAACTTTCCAAGTGAGAAAATAAAACATTGTAACATTTTCTTACATTAAATTTAGTTCTGTCTATAGAGAAAGCAAAAGGACAAGCAACAAGCTGTGTACCACAACTGACACAATTACTAACCACAAGGGGATAGTCATCATATTATTTAACAACAAAAACCCTGCAAATCAATAACGTCATAATAACACTGAAGTGTTCTAGTCTTGAGTGGGTGGAGAGTCCTTGGGTGTTTGCTTTGTTGCTAGACTTCATAAGGTATCCCTGTTAAACACAAGGTTTTATATTTATCAAATATTACATAAAAGTTTTAAAACAAAAAGAAATGAAAAGACATGAATAGGTACAATACAGAAAAAGAAACCCCAATGATGCATAAGTACATAAAAAAAGATTCTCAATCTTACTAGTAATAGGAAAAGGAAAATTAAGTCCCCCAGTAAGATACCATTTCTTGCCCATTTGACTGGTGAAAGATTAAGAAGTCTGATGATTTCAAGTTTTCGTTGAGGATACAAGTTAAGGAATCTTATACACTCGTGGTGGAAACGCAAATTTATTTAGTTGGAAAATAATTGGTCACCTGTCACATGGTGTATTTGCATACCACAATGTTTAGCAAATTTCACATTTGGGCATATACCCCTAGAGAGACACTGTTGCCCAGATGCCCCAGGAGACATGTATAAGAATGTTCACAGCAACAGTGAAAACAGACCTATAGTTTGTTGATAAAAGAGAGGAAAAATAAAATACATTTGCCCAATGGAATATAATACAGAAATATCATGAATGAATCTTAGAAATTCAACGTTCACTGAAAAAAAGTGAGTCACAGAAGATGATGTATACAGTATAAAGTCACTTTGTACAGCTCAAAACCAAATAGAATTAAATTATATACTGTTTAGGAATATAAACATATGTGACAGGCGTGTTTTCAAAAAGGCATAAGGATGATTGTAGGACTCAGGCTAGAGGTAGGGGAAGCCTGGGGAGGAAGCACATGCATACAGTGAGGGTACAAACAGTGATCAGTCTTATGTTCCATGGTGGGCTCATGGGTGTCTATAATTCACAGTGTCACATGTATTGCATTATATGTATCAAATATTATACAATTAAATAAATTTGAATTAAAAATTTAAATATATAATTACAGAATAAAATTTAAATATATATTATATACTTTAGTATATAGTATATATTATTCATGAGATTTATGTTACATATTTATAAGATATATAAATATATTTAAATATTTAATGTTTAATTTGAAGATGTGATATATTATTAGTACTTTATTATTACTATATTTTTACTATGTTAATATGTAATCTAAATGTAATGTTTTAAAGTTATATATTTTATAAAATTATCTATATTTTTATAAAATAAAAAAAAATTCCTCTGTGATAGTAAGGACAAGATCTTTTAAGAACCAAGTTGGCTAATGTTTAATGTGTAGACGTTTTTTTTGCTAAAATGTAAATTCCTCCTCTTGGGATAGTGAGAGATTCTCAAAGTGAGTTAACTCAGTGAAACCAGGCATTTGAAGAGGCATCTATGAGCATGTAAAATCTGGGGCAAGGCTTTAGACTCTAATGGGAAATATTACCGAAATATCGAGGGACAGGGGTATCCAGCTAAGCTGGGGCAAGCCAGATGTTCACATCAAACACTGTGGTTACACACACAGGCTCAGAAGTCAAGCTGGCTGGGTCTGAATGCCAGCACTTGCACCTGCTAGCCGTGTCACCCTGAGCAAGTTCCTTAACCTCTGTGCTAGTTTCCTCATCTGAAAAATGAGAATTATAACAACACTCCGAGATAAAGAGTAAATAAGTCAGACATGGAATGTGCTAGCAACAGTACCCAGCATGTAACAAACATTCAAAAATATTCTGTATATTTACTTACTTCTGTTAATTTTTTTCCAAGAGGAAGCCAGTTTTTCCCCCAAAGCATAATTTCCACCAAAAAAAAATTTAAAAGCAGCAATTATGTTTTAGTTCCTAAAAAAAACCATTTGAACCAAACTGTTTGCTGATGCAACAGATAGGATTTGTATTCCCCCCAAAACTGATACATTTCTCTTTCTGAGCATATAATTTGTGCTAAGCACCAGAAGAAAACTCATTCGCTCGCCACTAATTAGTGAATTATTCTGGTAGGCATTATCTGAAGCCTGTTGAGTGCCAGTCACAGCAGATACAAACCT